TGAAACATATGAATAGGATATTCTTGGAAAGACCCTAGAAGCCCTGTGCATTCTGCTCAGCCAGCAAGCCACTGACTGACTCACCCTTTCAACCTGCATGCCCTAGGCTGTGCAGACTAGCTGCATGCCCCCACTATGCAGGAAAGGCCTTCAGCTTTGCTATTTCCACCAGCTGCCCTTCCCCCACTTTCTCTTTCTGCTGCCTCCTCTCACACTACATTGCAGAGCCGTCTAGTACCCCAGATGTAGAAGGTACAGGTGTCCAATGAAAGGATAGCTGGCAGAAATGAAGAAAGGTGTGCTCAGAGCCAGGCCACCAAATCCTGGCCACTGTGGACTTCTGCAGAAATGACACAGGTTGAAATCAGTTGTTTTTGGCCTGAAGTGATATATCCCCCCCCCAGACTTTTGGCAATGTCTGGAGACATTTTTGGTTGTCACAACTGGGAGAAGGTACTACTGGCATGTAGTGGGTAGAGGCTAGGTGTGCTGCTAGCCTCCATGGAATGCAGAGGACAGCCCCCCCCCCCAACAACAGAGAATTATTCAGCCCAAAATCTCAGTAGAGTGGAGGTTGAGGAACTGGTTTAAATGAAGGTGAAAAGGAGTTCCCTGTTTGGACCTAAACGATTCCAGCACCTGGTACTTGGCAGACGGGAGCATTCCTTATTTTCCACTAACTCCACGGAGCCCAGGAAATGTTTGCACTTGCATGTGTTCCCTAGCCCCTCTTCAGTGGTAGATTTGTGTCTAAGTCTGAGTATGAGTGGTCACTTTTCAGCATTCATTAAATAATTCAGCATCTACTATGCCCCAGGCGCAGCTGTAGACACTGCAAGTAACAACTGCAACACCAACAACTACAATATTAGTTAACATTTATTGAAACATGGCAGACATTCTGCTTAGCATTTTGTGGGAATTCTATCCATTAATATTGCACAGCAACCCTGCAGAGGAACTATTAACATAATCCCCAGTTACAGAGGATGAAACTGAAGTTTAGGAAGGACCAGTGGCTTGCCCAAGATTAGGAAATGGTGGACATGGATTGCAAAGCCAGGCTTTTGCAGGCCCCACACTCCTAGCCACTACATGCACAGAGAAAAGGACACGGTCCCTAAAATAAACTTGGGGACCTGTAGGTGAATTAGCCACGTTAAAAGGCAATTTCCAGAAAATATCATCCTGATAATTCAGTTTGGTTCTAATTTCACAATTTGCCTTGTGAGTCCCAAATTCCAGCTCAGAGCAGTGTGGTTTAAAGCCTGGATTGGGTCTCCTCAGAGAAGGAGCCCGTAGCTCCAGGTCGCAATCACGCCCTTCCCTGGCGGTCAACCAAAGCGGCAGAGGAGAGGCTTTGACACGAGCGGAGGCCCAAGACGCAAACTGTTTCTGCGTTCAGGTCAGAGGCTGCAGGGTGAGGAGTGTTTGAGCGAAAAGTGTGCTGGGATTCGAACGCTGGTCGCAGTCTCTCCTGGCGGCGGGATGCTTGAGAGTCCCGGTGCGCCGCAGCCGCCTCCAAGTCCCCAGCGCTGCGCTCCCGTTACTACCTTGGCAACAACTGGGATCGCCACAAGGAGGCTTGCTTTTTTCCTACCGCTGCCCGCTAAGGCAGACCAGAAAGCTGAAAGCCTGGTCTTGCGGAAATGAATCCCTGGGAAGCCGAGAGGAAGAAACGTGCACTCCTGGGAGAACTGGCCCCGCGCAGACCTGGCTCGCAGTTGTGGATCTGCGGACTCTGGGAGCAGCTGGGAACAGGAGGGATCCCTAGGCAGGGCGGGGAGAAGAGGTGGGTGCGGGGAGAGCCGGGTGCGCACGTTCTTCCTTTCTATTTCTCCATCCTTTCTATTTCTCCCACGGCCGTTTCCATCCCCTCCAAACTTTGTTCCCTGGCAGGTTCAAAAATGCATTTCTGATCAAGATGCCTGACACTGAGTGCTGGCAAAAGCCTGTGCCAGGTGCACAAGATCACCCCATCCTATAATCCAGGAGAGGAACTAGTTCTAAGCCGGTCCTTCAGACCCACAACGAACTCGTTGCCAGACAATCGTGCTGCCGCCCGCCCCCAAATCCCAGCCAAAGGGAGACTGGCCGGTCGTGCCGCAGCTAAGAGTGCACAACTGCACTCACCCTGGGGCCCTAGACCAACGTGCAAACGAGCAAAACTCAAAGCAGTAGCTTCATCACTGATAGTAAAACATTAGTTGTGATTCTATTCACTGGTATGCACTAAAGCACCTTGGCTTCCTTTAGATTGGCAGTAGATTGGCACAGTGTCGCCTCCTGGGATGGTGGAGAATTGGTCCCCGTCTAAAGTGGGGTTCAGACTGATGGAGATCCTCATTAGTCTAGCGCACAACTCAGGTGCCTAGCTCCAGGAAGAACCGGCAAGAGTTTCTCCATGGGGAGCCAGATCGTGCCTGCCCTTGTTCCAGGGGAACTGGAGAGAGATCCTCCCATCCCCATACTCAGCTTCATTTGAAGGGAAAGACTAAAAGTTTTAGAAATGAGCCCCACAAGCTCCTGGTTCCGGTGCCTTGGAGTCTGGGTCTTAGATTAGCGGCTTCCCAGGTTCTCAGGCTTTGGGCCTCGGACTAGGAGTTACACCATCAGCTCCGCTAGTTCTCGTACTGAAATCACACTATTGGCTTTCCTAGTTCTCCTGCTTGTAGATGGCATATCACAATACTTCCTGGTCTCCAGACTAAACCTCCTCACGTAACTACATATAGCCTATTTGTTCTTTTCTCTGGAGAACCCTGACTAATACAAGACCAAAAGTAGATTTGTGGTTGCCTAGGGTTGGATATAGTGAGAATTGGCAGCGACTATCAATGGGCATGGTGTTTCTTTTTGGGATGACAAAAAATGTTTTTAAATAAGATTGTGTCGATGGTTGCACAATTCTGTGAATATACTAAAAATCGTGGAATTGCACACTTTGATTGAATGAACTGGATGCTAATGTGAATAGCTCAATAAAGCTGTTTTGTGGGGGGAAGGAAATGAGCTCCAAAAATGTTGAGCAACCTTAGGTGGACCGTCTTTCCTACTGGACAAGACGCATTTGCTTTGCCTAGACACGGGGAGTTCAGCGCTCCCCAGGGTGGGGGGGTGTGTGTGTGTGTGTGTGTGTGTGCGCGCGCGTGAGTGAGAAGAAGGTCTGGCAGGTTTCCTAGACACAGAATGGGAGCGGCGAGAACGCGGACAGTAGTTTCCCAGGTCTGACTGCAGAAATACTGACTGCAGAAAACACTCCTTCTCCCGCAGCTGTGCGCTCTCCGTTTCTGCAGAACCTCACGCACTGCCTTCTCCTCATCCATCTTAGAGAGTAAAAAGACCCGCATATGTCCTCAAAGGGAGCTGGGGTGTGGATTCTAAGTAGTAGGGGGATATAGGATTGTAACGAGAATTGGTAAGAACATGAGGTCCCAGAGCCACTGGCTCCAGCTATGCAGTGTCCCTCTCGGGGACTCCCTGGGGCAGGATCCCTTTGGGTTCTCAGATTCCTGGCCTGGAATGTTCCGCGACCAGAGACTCGGCTAAAGGAATTTGCCTTAAAACAAAGCGAGGAGGACCGTCTGAGAGGAGTCTGCACCATCCGGCAGAATGGAAATTTGTCCCTAACTAATTGTTACCAATCCAAGCGCAGCGAAGGACGGATTTCTTGTGCTTACGGAGGGAGTGGTTCCTGCTGCCGGCCGGGACAACGAAACGTTGAGGGATGGAGGTGGGGCTGGATCCCAGGTGAGAAGGAGGCGCTGCAGGGGTTGGGACTCATGCAGTCCAGGGAGAGCGCCCTCCTTCCCTTCCGGCTTAGCTTGAGCTCCGAGACGCTTGTGCGCCAGGCCGGAGTGGGACAATCGTTAGCGCGCACCTGGCTGGTATGGAAGGCGAGCTCTCAGCGGAGCTGAGGGTGCCGAGAGGCACTGGCTGAGCTGTAAGGCGAGGAGCCGGCTCGGACCCTGCAACTGGATCCCCAACCCTTCCCAGCACGGAGGCCCAATCCAGGTTGGCGCCTATCTACTCCAGAGCGAAGGCCTCTGGGCTCAGAGTCACGGGCATTTCTAAGAAAAAAAAAAGTTTATTTAAAATTTTGTACATAAATAAATAAATAAATATCTTCTGGCATTGCAGAGGCCGTACAATTACACAGCTAGGCTGGGGCGGACCAGAGTCTGGAGAGGGAAGAGTGGGGTCGCCAGCTTCGGAGAGTGGGGTCCTATGTTTAGAGGAATGAAGAGCGTGTCGGAAACAGCGAATGGGTTTCCCCAGTATGGATACTACGGGCGAAATTTATCATCTGTGAGAGGAGCCTGAGGACAGCAAGGCCAGATCAAATGGGGCCAGAGGACAGCAAGGCCAGATCAAGAGTGGGGACTGAGGACAGCAAGGCCAGATCAAGGGACACATGGACTGACTGAAGGAGGAGGCTTCCTGAGGAGGAGAAGGGAAAAGCAAAAGGAAATAAAAGGGGGGGGGGGTTCATAAATGTGTGTGATGGCGGGCGGGGGCCGAGTAAATAAATGATCACAGAAAAGAGGTGGCGAGGGACAAAAAGATTTTAAAAAGAGAAGCGAACGAGCATCCAAGGCTGCCGACCTTGACCGAGAGCGGAGGACAGTAGAGTAAGCGAGGAAGCCCAAGCCAGCCCAGAGAGGGCGGGCTAGGAGGCGCCGGCTGCCAGCAAGGCGCTGCGCCAAGCAGGCTTGCAGGCTGGGGCCGCGGTGCTGCACTGCCCAGGAGGACTCGAGCGCTTATAGAGTTCACAGCTCGGAGTTGGCTCTGGATGCGAGCGAGCCCTGGGGCGGGGACACCATGGTCCAGTCTCTGCCAAGCTCTCAGCCCTGCCCAGGCCCGGGACCTCTGCAAAACCGTGCCAAATCCATGCCGGGCAGTGGCTTGGCAGCGGGTGCCTGGGAACCAGCGCTGAGTCCCAGGACCAGTCACCGAGGCGCAGGGAGGTCTTGGGGTGGGGGACCTAGGGAGACGCGCGCCTAGGGAGTGACCGTAAGATCCCGGTCGTCCTTCCCTGAGGAGGACGGAGACATGGGCAATTCGTCGTCATCCTCGGAGCACTTGGCTGAGGAGAGAGATGCGCACTTGCAGCCTTGCGGTGCGCTCCCGCCACCACCGGCACCCCCGCCGCCGCCGCCACGATGGTTGCTGCCCTTGCCCTCCTTCTTGTGCTTCACTCGGCGGTTCTGAAACCAGATCTTCACCTGCTTCTCGGACAGATTCAGGTAGGTCGCGATCTCGATGCGACGTAGGCGGGACAGGTACATATTAGAGGCGAACTCGCGCTCCAGCTCTAGCAGCTGAGTGCTGGTAAAAGCCGTGCGCATCCTCTTGCTGCTGGGCAGCTGGTTCGAGCTGCTATCTGGAGGCGGCAGAGCAGAGAGGGAAGCGATCAGACCTCTGTGCTGTGGACCCAATACCTAGGTAGGCGGCCACCAGAATCCTACAACTTTGACCTCTTACCCACCTCTTTGCCCCAACACTACCCACGGCAGAGTTACAGTGAGCGCCTCCTTGTCCAGCTCCGAGATTCTGATTCTCCCGGAGTCAGGCAGCCCTGGAACTCCTTCCCCTTCATGGAGAGCCCTGGATCCCAGCCCTCACTTAACCCCGGCCCCCACTCCAGGACCTGAACGTCCGCCCTCATCCGCCTCCTGGCGTTGTGTCCTGGCCCTCTATCTGCATTCCACCCCAAGCGCCCCCCTTAGTCCCCGACATGACCCTCACCGCCCCCAGAAAGCCCAGGGTCCCTCTTCCTCCATCCCTGGCTCTCCATCCTGCTTCGGATCACCTCTGCCCTGTCCCTCTGCGCGGCGGCCCCGCTTACCCACAGAGATGCAGTGGAACTGCCTGGGGTCAGGCAGCGGATAGGACGTCTGGTAGAGGGCGGCGGCGGCGG